ATATATATATATACGTGCATACAACACATATACACGTATATGTGCATTGTGATATACACCCCTTCAGATGTACATATACATATTATAAAGGTACCTAGAAAACAACATACATAATTACATACTTAAATAAATACAGTAAATAAAAATACAAAATACACAAAAATTAAAATAGACCTCAATTTTCTTTTTTGAACCAAAAGTTCAGCTGCAAACGGAAACAAAAAAAATGGTGAACCACAAAATATATACACACACACACACACATATATTATATAAATCATCAAAGAAAGGTAAATACAGTGTTCGAATAAAGGACATAATAATACATCGTGTAGCATAGCTCGCAACGAATGTAGTCCTGTAAATAAGTGAATAAAGAAATTGGGTAATAAAATGCCTCTGGCGGGACTCGAACCTGCGACTTCTCGCTGTCAAGGAGAGCGTCGTAACCATTAGACCACGGAGGCTTTATGGTTAAACAGATTCAAATACCACCAGATACACTTCATTAATAATAATAATAGCATACACTGAAATATATAAATCAAGGTAGCCGTTAACACTGTTAAATTATATACATAAATCATCAAAGAAAGGTAAATACAGTTTTCGAATAACGGCTATGTATATATATATTATATAAATACATATATAAATGTATATACATATAGATATATATATGTGTGTTTATATATGTATAGTATATATGTATATATATATATATATATATATATATATATATATAATGGCTGCAAAATCCAATATTATATATAAATAGTATATATATATATATATGCCTTCTGATTTCGGCGTTAAATAATTGTATGTAAAGCAATAATTTATATATAATGAATGTATATGCATTATATACGTATAATTAGTTTTCTTCGATTACATTTAAATAATTTGTGGAGCGATTTTCCTTATTTATCAAGGATAAGACGTTAAAACAATTATTTTTAAATAGTGACTATGAGTAAAATTATTATCTATATATAGGTAATGCCTTTCAGCACTTCAATTATTTATAAATAATGTTTTGCTATTGTAAATTATTTATAAATAATGAAAATAGCTCAACCAATTATTTATATATAATTGTTAGAGGCAAAACTAATTATATGTATATAATGAACAAATGTTGAATTACTGTATATAATAAATAGCTACTGAATTATGTATAGGGGTCGTCCCGCAAAAATATACGTGGACATTTTGAAGCATGATTCTGGAGCAGTTAGCACTGTGGAACTTGCCAGTTTGTGTGAATCGAGGTGACCAGAGACAACGTTGGTTAACTCGTCTGAGGACGACATAGATGATGTACATAATTTTGTTAAATAATGAAAGTACATTGGGTGCCTCATATATTTGCCAAGCATTACAATTGATTTTTTAACCCCTACGAACACAGCGCCACGCGTAAGTTAGTTCGGCACCACTCTCATATACCCTGTCCACCATACACTGGCGGAATCAAGAAGAAAGCCGGCCCGGAGCACCCCTCCCCACCTATTTTTTTCAAAATCATAACAAATGGAGAAAAAAGAAAATTACATGCAACTTGAAGTGTTTGGTGATATGCAGTACAGTCGTTATTTAAGGGTTTCGTTTAGAATATTAACTTAATTTACCTGGAATTGAAGTGCAAAATGTTGGCTTTTCCAAGGATTTGAATGCGTTAGTTCATGTTCATTAGTCCATATCAGCAAGCATTTCACCCTGAATATCTGAGAATAAACAGTTTTCCCTGCCTAGTGCTAAGCCTATTGTTTTAAGCAGTATGCAGATCAAACAAAGGAAGAAGAAAGCTTTTCATGCATATGAGCTACTGGCAGCTACCCTTTTAATCGGGCTAGGGCCTGACTTTTCTTCTAGTGTATAAATCGGATACACTCACTCAGCGCTCAGTCAACTGTTACTATAATCATGGACCTATTAATAAGATAAGTCCATGCTATAATCATCCAGCAACGAACAGACTATTTTCAAGCGAGCTCTATCCAGATGGTGAACTTGTTTTATGCACTGGAATTAATGTCAAGGCGTTTCCTACTTCACTAGGCAGAAGTATCTAAAACGGCCCATCCTCTACTACTCATGACATAATGCTACATTTAATGTCCTGATATGTGGGGATGTGGAATCTAACCCAGGTCCAGATGAGTCCACCAACACCAATCCTGATCTGCTAGATGTACGAGTTCATTCTGGTTTCAAAATAGCACACATGAACATTAACAGTCTGCCCAGCAAACATAATGAGCTGCTTGTTTTACTAAACAATAATCTCATCCACATAATTTGCCTGTCTGAGACAAAGTTATGTCCCGATATTGATTCAAGCGAACTTTCCATACCTTCCTACTCATTGATAAGACAAGACAGAAACCGACATGGAGGTGGTACAGCTATGTATATCCTGCAAAATATTGTGTACGATGAAATTAAAGAACCTGACCATGTAGATGTGGAATGTGTAGCCTATATATACTTGTCAAACAACCCAAAATTCATTACCCCAATTTACCGACCACGAAGTGCGAAAATTCGCTTCTTTACTGACCTTGAAAAAGGCCTCATTTTTTGGACTGATATTTCACCTAATGTTGTGGCCTGAGCAGACTTCAATATCAATGTACAGACAGCGTCCAATGATTATAATCACCTGAAAGATCTAATGGATATTTTTCCCTATCTCAACTCATCACTTCAGCTACAAGGATTACAAGTACTTCAGAATCAACAATTGATCTCATACTTACGAGCTGCGAACACCTACATAAATATTGCTGTGTTTATCCGTGTGGTATAAGCGACCATGATATCATAATACTTGTCTCTCTGCAAAAATCACTAAAATAAATCACTACTCGAAAACGTTTCCATCATTTAAACATTTTCAGGAGGAAAGGTTTCTTGACGAGCTTGAGCAACAAAATTGGCAGAGTGTCTACAATTATTATTCTGATGTTGATGCTGCACTTAATTCCTGGAACTGTATTTTCACCAATGTCTGTGATAAGTTTGCTCCATATGTAACCATATGTTTTAAGAAAGACTAATATCGCCTCTAATCTTTCATCACAAATTGACTCCTCTTCTGTCCCTGATCCAACATATTTTCTTAGTCCTTGTTCTGCTCACTTTTCCCTTGATTACATCGATGAGGAATTTGTTCTCACAGAGTTGCGGAAAGTAAATCCCAACAAATCATCTGGTCTTGACAATATCGATGGCAGACTCCTTAAAATTGATGTTCCCATAATTTCACCACATCTAACATTCATTTTCAACCTTTCTCTGAAAACTGGTTGCTTTCCCTCTTCATGGAAAAGGGCTAAAATTATTCCTATTTTCAAATCTGGCAAGAGAAATGATCTTAATAACTATCGACCTATATCTATTCTTCCTTTATGCTCCAAAATTATTGAGAAAACAGTAGCTTCACAAATATATACCTACCTTGATTCTAACAAACTTATTTCTCATTTTCAATCTGGATTCAGACCTAAACACTCAACTCTTACTGCACTGACTACTACCCTTGATTCATGGTTTCAAACTAACAATAAAAATCTTACTGGCACTCTATTCATCGACCTTAAAAAAGCTTTCGACACTGTTGATCATAATACACTAATTGCTAAAATACCATATTTTGGTTTCTCTCTATCACCTGGTTAAAAAGTTACCTTTCTTCTAGATCTCAGCATGTTCTGTTTAGTCACACATTATCTTCTCCTAGTCCTTGCCCTTAGGGATCAACATTAGGCCCCTTCTTGTTCACTATTTACATTAACGACCTGCCTTTAACACTTACTAACTCTGATCATAATGTTCATATCGATAGGTATGCTGATGATACAATAATTTATTACAGCAATACTTCTGTTAAACTTATTGAACAAAAACTATACTCTCCCCTTCATCTTCTATCTTCATAGTGTAGTGCTTCACGTTCTAGTTGGCTTTTATAGCGCTGTTCTACCGGCGTAAGCGCTCTGCTCCCATAAGCGACAACTTGGGGTTTTCTACTGCCTTCTTTGGTTTCATACTGGACAAGAATTCCAGCTAGCCCCACAGGTGATGGATCTACTATGAGCTCAGTTTCTTTAGTTACATCAAAATATGAAACAACGGGTGATGAGTTTAATATTTTCTTAATTTCATCAAATGCAGATTGCTGCTCTTTATGTCAAGCAAACACCTTGTCTTTATGGGTTAACTGACGTATGGGCGCGGTAATGGTGGAGTAATTTGGGATGAACCTAGCGCAATAATTAGTCATACCTAACAGACTCTGCACTTCGCTGACGTTACACGGTGCTTTCATGGATACAATGGCTTCTACCTTTTTAGGGTCAAGCTCAAATACCATACCATAAAATTCAGTTTTGGACTTACGGAATTCACATTTAGACAGGTTAGCAGTTAGACCATTTTCATTTAAGCGAGCCAAAACTTGGTCAAGGTATTTATCATGCTGGACCATTGCATCATTGCCCTTCCCAAAAATGAATATATCATCCGAGATATTAAATGCACCATCTATGCCAGAAATTACATTTTCAATAACATTCTGAAACACTTCACTCGCGCTCGATATGCCGAAATTCAGACGCTTGTATCGCCACAACCCAACATGGGTGGAGAACGTTGTGATATATATATATAACGCGATTCTTTACTGAGCATAAGCTGGTGGTAGCCTGCTTTTAAGTCAATTTTACTAAACACCTTTGTGCCATTTAGTTTCGCGACAATGTCATTTACGGTCGGTGAAGGGTGTCTTTCGCGCATTATTGCCTGGTTAGCCTACCGCATGTCAACGCAAATTCGTACCTCCCCTTCCCGTTTGGGTTTCGGGACTACAACTATAGGAGAAACCCACGGAGTGGGACCATCCACTCTTTCAATTATATCATTACGTTTTAACTCTAACAATTCATTTTCAACCATATTCCTCATGTGATATGGGATACGCCTGTGGCGCTGGGCTACTGGGGGTACACTCTCGTCAACTTGACTTCAAAATTCTTAAGTTGCCCAATCCCGTTAAACACATTTGGGTATTTCTCAACCACATCACTACTTTCTAATACCACATTAACATATTGTTTAACCGCTACCAGTTTTAAATTGTGGCTAGCCCTATTGCTTAACAAGCATCCACATTGGCCTTCTACAACATAGAATGTGTCTGTGAAAGTAACATTAGCATTAGTTTTACACGAGATAGTATCAGTGAAAATTCCTTTTACCTTAAGGGTTGTTCCACCGTAGGCATGTACATTGTTTGTGTTAGTGTTTAACAACACACCACTGAATTTACTACTAAACGTACACTCATCAATAATGTTGCATGAAGCTGCAGTATCAGCAGTCATAACTAAACTAAAACTTTGGACTAACAACATTATGAATAAATTTATCACTACTACTAACTGAAAAGACATATTTATCGCTGCTAATGCTATCATTTCTATTGACATATTATTGTCCTGATCATGTCCATAACAGCTTATTTCATGAGCTACTTTGGTCTGTCGGCAATACTTGGCAAAATGGTTCACTCTACCGCAGTCGTGACATTTCTTTCCAAATGCTGGACAGGACTTTTGGGCCTCTTGGGTGTGGATATGACCTGCCGCAGCCAAAGCATTTTTCCCTTCCATAAACAGAACCGCTCCTAGCACTGTTTTCATTTCCTTTATTATTAGGGCGAAAAGTTTTACTGTTCTGTCTTTTGGTACTTACAGCATGGACTCGATTTTCTGGATGAGACTGTGCTAGGCCTAAGCCTAAGTCCTTTTCCAAATCACTATCCTGGACCTGTGCTAGTTCATTTGACCTTCCAATTTGTAGAATTTCTGCTAGCGTAAGTCCATCTTCCTTAAGGCCCTGTTTTCTCAACTTCGAGTCAGTAGTTGTTTGGATAATATGCGTCTTCAGTTCTTGGTCAATACTTTGAAAGTTACATGTACCGGCCGCCTTCCTTAGTCGGGTATGGTAGGAATCTAGTTTCTCGTCTGAATTCTGCCTAAGACGTTTAAATACAGCCCTCTCATATTCAATATTAACTTTAGGCCTAAAATGATTCGACAGAGCCACTTTGGCATGTGCGTAAGTAGTTCCAGTATCAGGTAGACTGTCAAATATTTCAAAGCAACGCGGCCCTACAGCATGTAGGAGCAATGCACGTTTTTGCGCGTCCGACGACACGGACAGCGCTAAGACATAATTCTCGAAACGCTTAATCCACGCTTCCCATTTTGGACCTACAAACGTGTTGAAAGACTCAGCGACAACATTGTCAAATGCAGCAACACAAGGGATATTTACTTTCGCCATTATCCCTCCTTCTAGCTATCTCTCGTCGCCAGATTTAGTGTTGTTTATATGGACAATCAACAACGATGCACACACGCCATGTCGTATTGAACATAACTAATTTAATCCTACTCCTCCGCGCGTACGCGCGTGCATGAACGGCACATATCCCAAGTAGTACCATAGCACTACACTACACATGGTTAAAATCTAACAAGCTAACCCTTAACATTCAAAAAACTAAATCTATGCTATTTGGTTCTCCGCACAAACTAAAATCCGCTAATAACAATCTTAATCTTCATCTTGATAACCATCCAATTTACCTTTCTTCTAGATCTCAGCATGTTCTTTTTAGTCACACATTATCTTCTCCTAGTCCTTGCCCTTAGGGATCAACATTAGGCCCCTTCTTGTTCACCATTTACATTAACGACCTGCCTTTAACACTTACTAACTCTGATCCTAATGTTCATATCGATAGGTATGCTGATGATACAATAATTTATTACAGCAATTATTCTGTTAAACTTATTGAACAAAAACTATACTCTACCCTTCATCTTCTATCTTCATGGTTAAAATCTAACAAGCTAACCCTTAACATTCAAAAAACTAAATCTATGCTACTTGGTTCTCCGGTTTTTGAGGGGTTCAGTTTTAACATATTGTTGAACATCCATGTTTTAATTTCATTAATGCAAAGTTGAAGTTTTTGAAATGAAACGGTTTCAGTGAAAGGGCAAAAAGGAAGGTAACTTTGAATATCATCGGCATTAAGATGATACTTAACATTATAAGAACGTAAAATGTTAGCAACAGGGGTAATATAAAGCAGAAAAAGAAGGGGACCAAGTACGCTTCCTTGGGGAACACCACATTGAAGTTCAGTGTCCTTAGAAAATGAATCAGAAATGGCAACTTTTTGAAAACGGGATGAAACATAAGACATAAGTAAACCAGCGAAGAACAATTTCAGAGAAGCCAAAATGGAAAGAAAGACTACGAAAAAGAATAGAATGGTCAATTGTTTCAAACGCAGCGGATAGATCCGACTGAACAAGTGCAACTGCCATGCCGTTATCAACAAAGGAAAGAATACCATTAAGAAGACAATTTAGAGCAGTTTCAGTCGAATGGCCCAATTTATAAGCAGATTGAAAAGGTTCATGGAGTTCGTTTTGTGTCAAATATTGAGATATTTGAACAGCAACACATTTCTCAGTAAGTTTTGAAATAAAATGTAAGTTGGAAATCGGCCGATAATTACTAATCATTTCTTTATCAAGATTAGGCTTCTTAATTAAAGGTTTGACGGATGAAATTTTAAAAGAATTTGGAAAAATGCCGGTGGAAAGGGAACAATTTACTATGTTCAAAATACCGGGAGCAGGGACATCAGTACACTTTCTTAAAAGTGAAGGTGGGATAGGAACAAGAGAACATGAAGAGTTGGATGATGAATTTATTAATTTTAAAACTTGATCTAATGTAATGGAATTAAAAAACTAAAAGTTAGAAGAACATTCGACATCACGGGAAAGGGACAAATCGAAATCGGTTTTAGGGAAGGTAGCACGGATTTTATCAATTTTTTATTTAAAAAAATCACTGAACATGTTTGAAAGTTCCAAATTGTTGGAGCATGTTGGTAGGATTGTTTTAGTGCTGACGGTGAGTATTTTTACTATGCCAAAAAAGTTTCTTGGTGTCACCAAAGCAAGAATCAACCTGACATTTGATGTGTTCAGTTTTGGAAGATTCAAGCGTATTTATGAAATGTGTTAATTGTTTCTTGTATGCTTTGCGATCAGTATCAGAGCTAGATTTTCTCCAGCGACGCTCTAACTTACTACATCTTTGTTTTTCAGCACGAACAGTTCCATTATACCAAGAGTTGTACTTTTTATCCCATATGCAAAGTTCTTTTAGAGGAGCATGGGTCTCAAAACAACTTTTAAAGAGCAATATTAAAATGATTTATGTAAGTTTCAACATCAGGTGAACAGCAACCAATAAGAGCAAGAGACAATGAGTCTGTAAGTAAACCAATGTCCACAGATTTTATAACTCTTATGAAACGCTTGTTTCTAGTGCATTTTTCAACAGGAACCTTGATGTTAAATAAAATAAAAGCGTGGTCGCTAACAACATTATCAGAAATTGAAAGTTCAGATATTACCAGGTCCAATGTATATTCATACACATGCGTCGAACCAACAACATTTTGGATAAAGCCTCTATCGGATAAAATATCGCTAAACTTTGAAGCATACAAATCATTAGGATTTTCCATGTGAAAATTAAAGTCACCTAAAATAATGCAGTTTTCGGATTTTGCAGCTAAATCGTAGTCAGCAAGATCGTTAAACTCTTCCAAAAACACGGTTTTGAAGACGTTGGGGGACGATATACGGCAACAAAACGAAGATGGTTTGTATTAGAATAAACTTCACATAACTCCATAGATGATGAGGAGATTGTGCACTGGGAAGTTCCATTAAAATTAAGAGACTCCTTGGATACAACCGCAACGCCACCAGCACGTTTTTCATCACGGGCAAATTGACAGAAATTATAGCCAAGAGGATTAAGTTCGGAGATAATAGATGAAGCACCGCGGGATACAGCCATGTTTCAGTGAAAACACATATATCAAAGTCATTATCAACAATATAGTATTGTAGAAATGTTGTTTTATTACAAACCGAATGTGCATTAAGCAGGCAATATTTTAAACCAGTGAATGGTTCATTTTCTTCAGTACTGGTGAAGTTAGCATATTCATGTTGACTTTTAACTGCTTTATGAACACCCTTTCCAGCACGACGACCACGTCGAGTACGTCTGTAGATGCCTAGTTCGTAGTTTAGCTGTTTAACTTGCTTTACTGTATCAGGCAGTTATTTGGAATGCCGCCGCAAATGTCTGAGCATTCCAGGTGAATACCACAATACGTTACTTGGTCATAGCCTAAGAAACTCGCCTCCGAAAACATAAGAAAACAGCAGTTTCCAATGAAATAACTCGTCCAAAGATTCAAGAGCATGGTGTAAAAAAATTTATAATGTTTAAACTAGAATCAGATATTAAAAACTCTGAAATAGCAGATTTAAACTGGGTTAGTGCAACTACTTCGTTAGCGCACTAGTTCACGTTCTTGTTAATAGGCCTTAATTATTTCTCTTTTATAATCTTTTATAATTTTTCTATTTTTGTTAGTTCTATTAATTATCTTCTCATTAATTTTTTTGATTTATTTTTTTATTTCAATTATTTTTCTCTCCAATATGTCAATTTTTTATTTTTTTTATTTCAATGTTTTCCTGAAATCATTATTTTATATAATTTATATACTGTAGGCCTTCTTTTTTATTGTTATTATTTTTATTATTATTATTACTATTATTAATTTTTCCTGGTTTAATTTAATTAAATTGTTTATGTTAAAGATCAAGTTTAATTTTTATACTTATGTTTTTAATTGTTTGTACCGAGGGTCCCAATTGATCTGCTAAGGCCGGATGGACCACCCTCACAAAATATTGTTGAAATAAAAAATAAAAGATAAAATAAAACACGAATATTATTATATTCCAATATATTATAAACATATACAGATATTATTAAAACCAGTCACCAGTTGAAAAAAAAAATCTCTTGCAGGCGTCTTTGTAACGTATTCCATTTTATAATAAAGTAAATTGCAATTTCTCATTATTTCAAATATAGACTTAGATGATTGGTACATTGGATTAACTCAACCAGTATTTTCGTGCTTTTGGCCTTTATATTTTTTTATATATTGATTTCCAACCAAGCAGGAAATGAACTGAATACGTTTAAAGAATGAACAATAAGATTGCCTGATTCGTTACCTTTTAATCAAATTTGTAACGATAAAATGTTTCTCAATAATTATACCTGCGCGTACAATTAGTTCAGCTTTATTCTCCGGTAGTACCTGTCCACCATACAGTGGCGGAATCAAGGGGAAGCCGGCCCAGAGCACTCCCTCCCTCCCCACCTAATTTTTAGGTAGCTTGCAACAAACGCA